TTTAACTTTTTCAAACGGCAGTAGTTCAAATGAGATAGCACCGATAAATAGTTATTTTTAGTTAAACAAATCTTTTACTTAATTATATTTTACTTTGAAATCAATTTTAATATAACATGACTCCCATATAATATTTTTATTGATCTTTGGTATCAAACAACTGAACAAATAATGGAAAAAGACATTCTAAACTATTCATCAACTGTCATGTTTCGTGGGACACCCTGTATTAGAAAATCAGAGTTTGTGACAAAGGGTCTATATTTTTTTTAAAAATTTTTTATCATCAATATCTTTTAATGATGTCCTAATTAGTTTAATATGTATTGGTGCGTCATGTAAGATGATAAGGGAGGTAATCTTTTTGAAATAATTATTTTACTATTATTATAAATATAAAAGCATAGGATTATTTTCTCTTTTGTGTTTGCTTTCAATACAAAAAAAAATGCTTGATAATGATATTTTTGAGAAATTAAGACTGTGATGTACAAGGTTACCCACAAAGGATGATACTTCAGAGACTACTGTGCGGAATTTATACTACGTCTGTTTCCTGCAACTTGAAGCTTGTTTTTTTCTTTGACAAATAATCAAAAAAATAAACAGAAATAAGTTAAAATTTGATCGACATTAAAGTCACAACTTTGTGATCTCGTGGCTCCTCTAGTTTTGATTTAGTATAATGAGAAAAGTAAATATAATCTGGTATCTTCAGCACTTATCTGGTATCTGAGCACTATATCTGGTATCTTCAGCACTATATCTGGTATCTGAGCACTATATCTGGTATCTGAGCACTATATCTGGTATTTTCAGCACTATATCTGGTATCTTTAGCACTATATCTGGTATCTTTAGCACTATATCTGGTATCTTCAGCACTATATTTGGTATCTTTAGCACTATATCTGGTATCTTCAGCACTATATCTGGCATCTTTAGCACTATATTTGGTATTTTCAGCACTATATCTGGTATCTTTAGCACTATATCTGGTATCTTTAGCACTATATCTGGTATCTTCAGCACTCTATCTGGTATCTTCAGCACTATATCTGGTAACTTCAGCACTATATCTGGTATCTTTAACACTATATCTGATATCTTCAGCACTATGTCTGGTATCTTCAGCACTATATCTGGTATCTTTAGCACTATATCTGGTATCTTCAGCACTATAACTGGTATCTTCAGCACTTCTCATTCGCTATTCAATAATAGTCGAGTTTTGATCGAAAATATAAAAGATTTGAATCTTAGTTTAGTTCAACGTGAAAGACAGAAGACTTAATTTAAACTTAGAAGCGTCAAATCTTAAGATTTTCAGGTCGTCTTTACAGTATCATCGCTTGTGGGTAATCCTGTATAATTGTATAATAATGATAAAACAATTGGATAAAAATTCCATTCTCTACATTTAAAAGAAGCAATAAAACACAAAGAGCCCAAGCTATGGTTTATAGTACCCCTATATTTACTTCACTAATCAGGGGTGTATTACATTTTAAGGAAGAAAAAGGGGTTTTAACATTTTTATATTGAAAAGAAAAGAATATAATTCAAACAACATTTTTTATTATTATAAACCCAATCCCCCTTTCTCCCCGACCCCCCCCCCCATTTTCTCCGATGATACCCCCTACAATGCGATGAGGGGGGGGAAGGATCTCCCGGAATTTGATGCCGCGTAGAATTGTAATTAGTTATATGGTGGGGGGGGGGAGGGGGTATAAGAGTGGTTTAGCTTAAATATAAGTTCATGGGAGGTCCAGGAGTTGAGTCACTAGCTCTCAAAATTGTTCATATATTTTTGAAATTTCGAACAAAAAAGTTTTTAAAAAGTTATAACTGTGTATATCAAGAAATTGAGTCTATATCACAAACTCATTTTTTCAAGTACCTAAATCTTTGCAATCTGTGTAAACTTTTGATATTTAAAACTCATGGCTATTTGATTTATGCAGAATGTATAGTTAGAAATATCTAGGGTTTAGGACATTGGGTTGCAAAGATATAGGGATTACAAAATCGAAGTTTGTGGCGAAGACCTTTTCAATATGTATATATGTAATTGTACAATTTGCATCCCGTTCTTTACACAGCTCTAGGGATGTTCATTATTCATTATGAATATTATAAACATATAGTTTTTAGTGAAAAAAGCTACTTTAAAAAAAGAGTTATACCAAACAAAGTTTTTGATTGGTTTAGTTTTTATTTAGAAAAAGAAAACCATTTTTTTATTTAATTGATCCATCATTCTTTTTTTATCAAATCAAAACTTTTTTACCATGCCTAACAACCCCCCCCCCCCTGCCTATCGCAGATTACAATGTTGTTCGAAATGAATTCTATGTAGGTTACTATAGGCTTCAAGGACGCTTTGCGATCATCTATGTTTATAACTTTTAATTGATGCTCTTAATCTACTTTTTTTCGTGGATTTTTTAAATCAAAATTTAAATTTTTTTCAATTCTATTAACATCTATGAACCTTGAGCCTAGGGGGGGGGGATGTCATAATTTTGTCCCCAATGAACCGGAATTGACGGTGATAATAAATACAATAAAAACATTTGGACCCAATCGATTCAGCCGTTTTGACGTTTATTGGATACAAACCGACAGAGAAACAGACAAGCAAGTATCTGTATAGATAATAAATGTGAATCTTACATAATTATGCAATGACATATTAATATTCCGTAAACCCTCTGTATTCTACAGTAAATGTGAGGTTAAAATTTCAAGGAATTACGACAATTTTTAGCATTTAAGTTTAGCATGAGATTTGTATAAATATCCAGGCTTAATACTTAAAATCACAGTTTAGTACTAACACATGTACTGATCACATCTCTTTTCACAATCAAGCCTAGTCACATCATATCACAACCATGAACATTAAGGTAAACATTTAAACATATTTAATATTTATCAAAAAAAATTATTTCTAAAAGTTTATTCTCCCAAAAAAATTTTATGTGCACGTCTGCATATAAGTAACACATGTTATTAACTTATATCACAAAATGATAAAAATATCTTCCAAAGTTACTTCAAACAGTGTGACTTATAAAACTGTGGAAGTAGAAGCAATCTTATACTGACAACCAGAAAAATCTGAAATAGGAAGACGACTTTTAGAATCAATTTACAACTTTAAAAGTCCAATGAGTAGGAGACACAGCAATTGTGCAGAGTAAACAGACCCATTTCACTAAATTAGTAATTTAATAAGTGTCTGGTAAAAATATTTGCTTCGTAAAAACATCAAATGCACTTAAGTATTGCTAGAATGTAGTCTTCCTATTCCATTGTTTTCTGGTTATCACTGTAGATGTATTTGATGTCGTTATAACGTTACCAGTACCTTGATAATCAACAATTAACAATTGTTATGCAGAAGATAAGTTTAACATTCGTCTTTTCTATTTTCCACAATTATGTGGGTCCCACTGCATCATCCAAATAAGAACTTGTTCCTATCCTTTAATTATTGAGTCCAGCATGTTTATAATCTTTTATAAAAAGATTTTAAAATTCAAAATAAAGTGATTATCAACGCACAATTTTTGTTGTGTTATTTTAAATGAGTGATATAATCATTTCTATCAAATCATGTGAAAATTACCAAGTCGAGTTTTTTCCCACATTTTTATATATTTTTAATTTTACACTGTCTTGCAATGGGTCGTTTTTGATATTTCGGAATCATATTTTTAATACTTAACTGTAATAAGTTCCTGAAGAGCTTCAGAATAACAACATAACTGTATTTAAAAAAAATATGTTCAGAGGTGGGAATTCTTATATATTGTTGATATCGAGTCGATCTTTTGTAAATCTGTTAAATAATTTTAGTTAAAATCCATATTCCGCATGGTAATCCTACCCAGTCAGGGATTGAATTGAAGGGAGCTTTGATCAGGGGAGGAATAACTAAAATGAAGAGATAAAGCATTGATCCTCATATTAAAAGTGCTGACAGTGGATCGTGATCATGAGCGATCAGGATTGAATCGGTATTCCCAACTTAGAACTGATTTTCTTGTTCAGATTTGTACCGACTTCATTTAATTTTCCATACATTTCCCATTCTTTGTTTTTCAAAACTTGAACTGTTTGTACATTTTTGGCTAACTTCATTCAGTTATATACCCCCCCCCCCTCCCCAGGAAAAAAATGAGATTTTCTAATTTCAATATAGACAGGGAAGATCAAGCTTCTTCTAACAATTATTCACAAAAAAATATATTCATCCTTTTTAAATATTTTTTTTAATAAACTTTATCTTTAATCTTATAATTTCCAATAAGATGAATATTATTGGATCTCTGACCGTTTTATTTTTATTAACTATTCGTGGAAATTTTATTTGACGCGGTATAAAAGGGACAGTTTAGAATTATGTTAAAATCCACCAATATAACACGGAAATCAAGATATCTATGGCAACAATGCATCAATTTTAAACACATCACTATTCGAAATACAACCACTGGTTGTCGTAGCAACAGACAGACGAGAGCACAATTGTAACTGTGTTAATAGAGAAGCTTTTCTATAGACACGTTCTTTTGGCTTCGGTTTTACCGTAATTATATTTTTTTGTAGCCTTAGACATGTTCATATTAAAACTACAACGCGTGTGTTTCTAGGATTAAAAGGATTAAAAGGATTGAATATATTTCCACTCCAAAATGTCCCTTGAATCTGCAGGATGATAAAATAATTTGCAAACTATAGTCTTACTTACAATTAAAATGTATATTTGCAGCTCAACGGGCCCTTATTGGTTGAAAAATGTATCTAATCTGTTATTTTTGGTGAGAAAACAACAAATCCAGCCAATAAGAAGAGACTAAACTATGCACACATTTTTTTCAAAAATAGACTTTTTACCTTAAGAATCTGAATATTTTGGTATCGTATATACATGCAACAAATCAAGCAAATAAGAAGAAACCAATTAAACTATGCACACATATTTTTTAAAAATAGACTTTTTTACCTAAAGAATCTGAATATTTTGGTATCGTATATGCATGCATCAAATCGGCGAACAATCACTTTTATATATAAAGTTTTAACGTCATATTAAAACAATAATGATTTATTTAAAGAATAAGGAATATGGATGTCTCTATTGTTGGTTACACCAATTAATTTTATTTTATCAGAAAACCTATAATTAGAAAATTTAGGGGACCATTATAAACCTTAAACTAATCAAAGAAGACTGGCTTATCCTCAATTATCTACAGACTAGGCTTTCAGCGTCTATTTCAATAGTGAACATTTTGTCTTTGTATACATTATGAAACAATAACAAAACAAAGTTCGCGGATTTTATCAAAAATTTCGTGGATTCTGAAAATTTAAGGCTAATTTGTTGAAATTTTGATCATCCATAAACCTTCACTGAGGTCACACACAATAATTCTAACTTTTTAAGTCGCAGAATATAGAATATTTACATTAAAAAAAATGTAGGAAAACCTTTTTAACAATGGTAAAAACTGTGATGGATTAATTCTTTTTAAATCGCTTAGCTTAATGAATCAATTACTTTTTGAGTCAAGATTGAGAACAATTCAAAAAAAAATTTTAAAAAAAAACAGTTTTCAACCAGTATATATTTCTTCATAGCATCGATAAATCAAGAAAATGAAAAAAAAAAATATTACAATTTTAATATTTTTTAACTTTTTATCAATCATTATTAAGTGGATTCAAACTTAAATATTTTTTATGACTTGAAAAAAATCTGTGATATTAAAATTATTTTGAAAAAAGCAAAGGAAAAATATTTTCAATTAAATAAACAAGATTTTAATATTCATTTCCGATTTTAGGAAACCCCTTGAACGCCCCGATCGTTAAAAACAATAAAAATACTCCTATGTACTATGTTTTATTAAAAATTTTATAGAAAATTCCCCAGCCATTTTTTTCCTTTTTGCAAAATCTTTTATATTTTAGGTTTTATCTCTGATAGCTTTCTGTTGCCTGCATGCTTGCTTGGCCTCTCCCGCTCGCATAAGAAGAGCAGCACTCCCTTTAGCTTTACCCAATCCCGTTGCAGGGGCTGAGCCTGGGGGTTATGACCATGGGCATGGTGGCTATGGGCATGAAAAGCATGATTATCATCATGAGGAATATCATCATTACCATCCTCCTACTGAGAACCATCATCACTCTGAAAGTCATGCTTATCATAACAACGAGATCCACAACCATCATCACTACAAGCATCAGAACAATTATCATCATACGCATCATGATCATCATCACACCGATCATTATGATCATCATCACAAACACGTTCACGATCAGTATCATCATCATCATGTAGATCATCATAGCCAAGCTCATCATCAGACCCATGATCACTCACATAGCGAGGGACATTCGCATTCACATGAGAAGTATCATCATGAGCATCATGATGACTATAATCATTAAGAAGTTTCGACATGGAAGTTCAGAATTTAGCAAAGGAACAGAGTCTTGAATTTGGATTGGTGACCTTTGTGTATAAAACAAAACTGGAACTTTTCGTTGAGGAACATTTTTAAAACAGTTTATGGATAAAGAGAATAAGTTGAACTACTTGCTAATAGTTAAAGCTTCATAGGTTCAGCAAAAGTAGATCAAATCTCTCTGTTCATAAGTTCTCGTCTCCTATTTATCTCATCTCTATTCTTAAAAATAACACGTTTTGATTTTTCCAAATAAACATAATTATAAGTGTTGTTAGATGCTGATTTATCGAGAGCTGGAAGAAATCATGAATATGTGTATAATTTGAATAGTAATATGATCGAAATGGAAGACGTGAATGGTTCTTCTTGTTACCAGAGAGAAAATCTTAAAATTGTATTCTCAATTTATTTCAGAAGATGAATTTTTTTATTTGTAATTAATTTTTCAGAGATACTGCGAGGCCCATAAACTGTGAAATAGGAACATAACATTAATGCAATGTTATGCTTAGTTAAGCTATTATAAAGAAAATGGGTTTAACCACTAGCTTGAAAATCATCTAATTAGGTAAAATCGGTCTGTGTATATTTTACCTTTTTTTAATATCAATTTTGTCAACTAGTGTTGGATGGGTATTTTTAATCTGAACATTTTGAGATAAAAAATTCTATTAATTTAAAATTACCATGAGAAAAAAAAACTTAAAGGGCGGAAAAAAAATCAAAAATACTTCTTGTAAAATATATGTTGAAATGGTTTTATAAAGAGGTTTCCTCTGAACACTGCCCGTTTGTTTTCGTTTCATCATCTTGGAAATTGTTTGATCTAGGGTCAAAATTAATTTTTTACATATCCCCAATTAGATTCTAGTACAATAGAAATGTGTACACTCTTAGTTGTATTTTTACGTAACAAGTGTCAACTCAGTTTTTGTGTCCGACATGATCATTAATAACAGTGATAATTTTAGAATAAAGTGCTTATCTTATAGCAAAATAAGTGCAATTTTGCGTTTTCTTTATTTTCTGTTTTTGCACTTTTTTATTTAATCTTGGAAACATGTCAACTAATGTGAGAAAATTTCGTTTTCCTTGTTATATTTGACACTTGTGACGTCGTGTATAGTTTGTCCGTTTTTCTGTTGACACTTTTTGTACTTGCTATAATCTATTTACATATCCCAGCTGTTCAATTTCTTTTCGGACTTTGACGATTTCGATGTTTCTGAAATCAGTGTTTCCACACGGATCTTTTTATAAATGCTTATTTTGACTTATTTTCAAGAAATTGCTTTCATGTGAGCATTTTTAACTTTAAAACTCGGCTCACCTTAATTTTTGGTTGTATGTCATTGTCCAAGCCCATTCCTGTTCCGAGTGTATGAAATAATTTTTTGTGACCTTCCATTTTAGAGTGTCGTGTCATATTCACAACAGCACCTTTAAACCTTTAAATGTTCAAGGATTTTATATTTTTAGAATATACTTTCTATACTATGTAGAAATCGTCCACTCCTGTATGCCGAGTCCATAACCGCCTGATTCAATCAGGGTTCAGCCACGTGTTTGTTGTCTATTCTAAACCAATAGAAATTGTATGGCTGTAACATTTATCTTTCTATCTATTTCATTATCCAATCAGAGTTATAAATCCTTCAATCGGCGCTATAACAGTCAATGGAAATATTTACTTCTACTGAAACTATCGTGGCATCGAACAAAACATAGTTTTGCCGTGCGCTTTCTACATAATTTATTTAAAGTTACTTTCAGTGAGCTCACAACATTCGTCAGCATACAGTCTTCAGCTTTTCGGTAGGGAATTGATTATTTGTCACAAACTCAAAATTTCTAAAACCTATATCTCTGCAGCATGATGGTGTAAACCTTTGATATTTCAAACTAAGATTGTTTGATCTATAACATAATTCATAGTTTGAAAAATCTAAGGTGTAAAATATATAGGAATGAGAAATTCAGAGTTTGTGGAAAAGACTCAATTCCTTTGAACAACAGTTTAGAGATAAACACGGACTACTCTATGGTCAATTATCCGACCAAGATTTGAAGGAATTAAGTGCATGCACTTCTGGCCTAAAAAGATTGATTTTCACTTGAAATTATATTTTCATTTTTGGTAAAAAGATTGTAAGAAGCTCGTAGTAAAAATGTATAAATAAGATTCTTTAAAAAATTAACACGTGACAAATGTTTCTTTACGACGAACTTCATTTCTTTGCTGAAACTTGAAATAGTTAAATAATTTGACAATATTTATGTTGTTGTATTTTCTCTTGTAGTATTTATAGGTCTCGGGTGAATCAAACCAATAGTTGTATCTTAAGTACAATACAAAAATAAAAATAAATTCTAAAAATATTTTCTCTAAATTCTAAAAAATATACACTATTGCTGAAACAAAACGAGGCGTTGGTGATCAGTTTCTAAGGCTTGGACTTGGACACAAAGTTGCAAATATACAGATAAACAGATTCATTTCAAACCTACAAAATACAGTTTTAGTAAAATAAAATATTGGTATAAAGTTGTTTTTAATGTTTGATTGAGTAACTTACTAGTTGTGTGTGTCTGGGTAATTAAGGATTGATCAGGGATCAGAGGATTTGATGGATCAGTCTAAAAACATTTGGATATTACATCTGAAATTAAAAACTTGGTTATTTAAGTAGAATTGTTTGGATTGCATAATTATTAAAGAGAGTGTTCGCGAAAAATGAAAGGGGGTATAGGCTTACGGCGAAATATAAGCGCTAATGATCGCTACTAATCTTACTTCTATCTGTTGCGTCTACGATCCCAGTCGTACGTTGCAACTTTCTCAATTTGTATTAATTATTCGGTATTAATCGTTTTTAACAATTTTCTCCTTATAGACGCAACAGATAGAAGTAAGATTAGTAGCGATCAAAAGCGCTTTTTTATCGCATTAAGCCTATACCCCTCTCATTTTTCGCGAACACTCCATTTAACCGGTTTAGGATTTGAGTATTCACTGGTTAAAACGTGTTACTATATAACTCAATGTTTTCCTTTGTCGGAGACGGAGGTTCAAGGCCAGAATATTTCTCTGGTTTTAGACTGACCCAAAATAGGGGAGAAAGGGTAGGAAAGACGACCTTATACTGTATAGGGTAGGAGTCTGATTTATGTGCAAATACTATTTGATTATTAATTTCGAAAATTGAATATTTTCAATTGTGGTTTCTCTGCCATTGCGCATTCTACCACAGGAAAACGAATAGGAAATATCAGAATTAAACACCATGGAACATTTAACCTAGAAAAACGACAAACATCTTTCACATTACTGATCAGATAAAGGTTTTAAGGGTGCCATTGTAAATAAGGCATGGTTGCATGGAGGGTAACATAAGAAATTACGCTTACAGTCCCTTTTACAGTTCTTTAAGTAGAAGGGAAAATATTTTGTAAAATTAAAATATCATTGTTTTATTAGATGAAATGGAATAACTTTATTATTATATTATAAAGATTTATTCACACACAAAGATATAAATACATATATAAATGGTGTAGTTTAAATTTGTTTAAATAAATTTTTGAAAATACAGGTTTCCAAAAGAAAAGAGAAAAATATGCAAAATTATGCACAAATAGACAACATTGATTATTACTCATTACATAACATATTAATAATTTCAGTTATTACGTAATCATCGAATCCTTCAACATATAAATTATTCATTCTTGTATTTAAAAGTTCTCGTAAAACCGGAACTTTCCATGCATGTTCCAATGGGACATCAAAATATTTCAATTGTTTCTTAACTAACATTTTACTAAGATCCGAAGGATTTACAGAACAATCATTTGCAATAGAAAATAAATTTCTGCCAAGAACTGTGTTGAGGTCATTTTTACATAAATTAGAAAGAAATCTAATGCAAAGCTTAGAACTCGCTTCAATAGTCTCATAGAAAGACACACATCTGCTAGCTAATATAGTTTTTACATGTAAACATTGTGAAATTCTTTCAATCAAGTACCTATGCGCATCTCTAGGTACATTAAAAAGAATTCTAATAGCAGTATTCCATGCTGTATACAATTTTGAAATACATTGGGAACTCAAGTCCCCAATATAAGATCCATAAAAACTACAACAATAAATATTATACAGTTTCAAAATAACATTTGGAATTACGCGTTTTTGTTTGTATGATATAAGCGTGTTTGTTTGTTTCCAGAAAACACCAAAACGGCTAAACTAAACACATGTTTTAACCTCATGAAAGGTTCAAGGCCGAATTAAAAGTTTTTACCTCCAACAAACTCGGATTTTTAAAATTTTGGAAAAACCACCTATGTGAAAACAAAAATGATTTTTCGAAGAAAAAATGATGGAAGACTAGTCTTTTGTTTGTTTTGGAGATGTATAGCTTTGGTCCCTCCCCCCCCCCCCTCCGCCCAAAAAATAAAGGAGTAAGAAAAAATTCTGACACGGAAAATCAATGAAAACAATCTTTCTCGCAAAAAAATGACGTAAATGATATTTTTAATAAATTTTCCTCAAGAAAATCAATTTATATTCAACATTAAACGTGTGTGAGAGTGTGCAGGAAAAAAAGATTTTTTTTGAATTATGACGTTTTGTAAAATATTTTCCTGGAATAAAATGAGATATAATAAAGATTTTGCACATGCAAATTGTACAAAAATCTGCTGTATCCAAGATTCGCAATGTAATCTCAACTAAAATAAAGTTTAATAAACATGAAAAGAATTAAGTTTGCCGAGATACCTTCATACCCGCTCCGGAAGAAATTTAAAGGGAAGAAACATAAAAATAAAATTCTTTTCAATTGGAAGAATTGAATTCTTCAGTAAAACGTTATTAAAATTTGCAGAAATTTTTAATTAAAATCTCATTATTAAGAATCTAAAGAGGTTATTTAGAACCTTAAGAGGCTACTTAGAATCTTAAGAGGTTATTTAAAACCTAAAGTGGTGTTTTAGAACCTTAAGAGGTTATCTAAAATCTTTAGAGGTTATTTATAACCTGAAGAGGTTATTAAGAACCTAAAGTGGTTATTTAGAAACTTAAGAGGTTACTTAGAACCTAAAGAGTTTATTTAGAACCCAAAGTGGTTATTTAGAACCTTAAGAGGTTACTTAGAACCTATAGAGGTTATTTAGAAACTTAAGAGGTTATTTAGAGCCTAAAGTGGAGTTTTAGAACCTGAAGAGGTTATTTAAAAGTTTAAAAGTTTTATTTAGAACCTTCGCAGGTTATAGAATCTAAAGTGGATATTTAGAATCTGAAAAGGTTATCTAAAATCTAAAGAGATAATTAAGAACCTAAAGAGATTATTTAGAATCTACAGAGATTATTTAGAATCTACAGAGATAATTAAGAACCTAAAGAGATTATTTAGAATTTAAAGAGATAATTAAGAACCTGAAGAGGTTATTTAAAATCTAAAGAGATAATTAAGAACCTAAAGAGATCATTAAGAATCTAAAGAGATAATTAAGAATCAAAAGAGATAATTAAGATCCTAAAAAGATAATTAAGAATCTAAAGAGATAATCAAGAGCCTAAAGAGATAATTAAGAACCTAAAGAAGTTATTAAAACCCTAATTAGTTTACTTAAAACTTTAAAAGGTTATTTGGACCTGAAATAGGTTAGTAAAAACCTATTTGGACAAAAAGGTGTAAAAAAAATAAACTAGAGAAATAAATTTTCGAACAATTTTGGAAGTAAACCTTTTTATTCGATAAATGATATAGCTTAGATAAACAAAGGTTATAATGCAAGGAAAGTTATTTCAGAAGCGTAAGCATCTTTTGTACTGCAGTGTACTGTCTCTGGGCGGTAATATAAACACAAGACGGATGTCGGAAACTGACATGGGATCCATCTTTCACATAAAAAATCAATGAAATATTCTGGTCATAGGAAACTATTATGTGAATTATCAAAACTTTCAAAATTAAATGCTTTTAACCTTCTCGAATACAAAACGAACACTCATGCATCTATTCTTGTTTACAAGAGAGAGAACTGGTTTCAATATGTACGCAGAGTATACGCAACTGCAATTAACTTTCCTTGCATTATAACCTTTAGATAAAGTAACTTTCGGAAGAACTTATTTGATTCCCATTTACCCCCTTGGCCCTGACCAAAACTTTACTCATGAAAAGGAAAACTGAAGACGTAGATCAATACGTAGGTGTCATAATCTACGATACTCCGTCGTTCCCCCCTCCCCCCCCCCTATCGCAGAGTGCCTCTGGTTTTCAGCGGAGTATATATAACGGAGAATATGCTAAGTATTTGTCAGTAAGGTAAACACCAAGACGGGGCTTTACCTTACTAAACAACATACATACAAAACTTGTCATTTAAAAATTAAAACTCAAAAGGAAATAAATATAAATATGAAATTGAGTCTTTGTCACAAACTCTGATTTTCTAATCCCTATATCTTTCCTAACCAAGGTAGTAGACCTTGGATATTTTAAACTATGAATTCTGCTATAAAAAAAACTAAGTTAGGAATATCAAAGGTTTAAACTACCTTTATAAAAAATAAAAATACAAAAAAATATGTATGAAAAGTTATAGAAAAATTTAGTCAAAACAAGTGCTTAGAAAGTAAAAAAAAAAAAAAAAAATGGTTTTAAAAAGAGAAATTACTAAGAATTGCAAACAAAGAAGTTAGCATTCTTGTTCTTGTTCTTGTTCCTCTTGTTCTGGTTCTTGTTCTTCTTGTTTTTATTGTTCTTGTTCTTGTTTTTTTCTTCTTGTTCTTATTCTTCTTGTTCTTGTTCTTGTTCTTGTTATTTTTCTTGTTCTTGTTCTTGTTCTTGTTCTTGTTCTTGTTCTTGTTCTTATTCTTCTTGTTCTTGTTCTTGTTCTTATTCTTCTTGTTCTTGTTCTTCTTGTTCTTGTTCTCCTTCTTCTTGTAATTATTATCATTTTTTATTGTTATTGTTATCATTGTTATTAATATTATTATTATTATTATTATTAATGTAGATAAAGACAATGATTACCGCCCTACTCCTGCTCGGCCTGATAATGTGTTCATCCATCCAACAAACTCAGGCCAGGAGTTTCCCAGGCACGAGGTTTTTTACAAGTAAAGGAACTGACCACTTGCCTCAAACGCTAATTTTTTGGTCCCAACATTTTTGCAACCTGATGGCGTAAACCCTTTGATATTTCTAGCTTGAAATATTAAATGTCTACAAGATCAGGGTTCAAAGTTTTGTAGTAAGTGTGCATTTCCTTTAACATCAAGTTAGAAATCTAAAAAAATTTAATTTACATTTTTTAATTTTTAATTTTTTAGTTACTCTGATAAAAGACCCTGCGTTCCTACAGTGTATGAACCAAAGTGCAGGTATGATGAGGGTTTTAAAAAATTCGATTCTTACAAAAAATCTAATTTTTTTTAGCTTGTTCTATATATGATATATATGTTTATATATATATACAGATGTACAATATAAAAATATGAGCGAAGAGCTGTAGTATATGTATAGATATAGACAATGTTTATTCTCTATCTTGAAAAACAATGATATCTCCAGGTTTTTGCTCAGATAAAAATTTAATGGGGTCCGTTGTGAATTGTGCATGGA